AATAGTAGATAAGTACGTATCTTAGTAATTGTTATACTAATCTTTATACTAATCTACTATAAATAATAAAGACTTATAAGACTTCTTACTACTTAAGTAATTTTTTATATTAGGTAAGAAAGCTATATAAAAGAATATAGCTATATAGTATAAAGATAATAATAGATAAGTAGATTTACTAGGGCCTATAGATTAGTAGCTAGAAGATCTAGAGATTAATAATATAAGGTTTACGTTTTCTAACTAGTACTTTAAGTATTACTAGGCGTATAGACTAATCTATACTAATAAAGAGCCCTCTAATAAGACGTATAATTACGTCTTCTTGTCTAGTATAGACCTCTTTATAATAAAGGATTTAATTAAGACTAGAGAGATACTAAAGGCGTTTTTTTATATTTAATTTTTTATAAAAAAGAAATATAAAATAATTATTCTTTCTTTTACGTATAACTTATATTTAGTTATAATACTCTTATCTATAATAGTATAGCTTATAATTTATATAGTAAAAATTAAGATATCTAAAATTAAGGATTATTAAAGGCGTACTATATATAGTAGAGATTACGATTCCTAAAATAAATAAACAGAAAGATAGCTAAGTTACTAATAGTATATAGTAGTAGAATTAAAGCCTTTAAAGGATCTTTAAGAATTCGTTATTACTATAAGGACGTACTTAGTATAACTTAATGTATTACATTATATATTTATACTAATCTTTATACTAATCCCTTTAATTCCTCTTTTTTTAAATATAACTTACCTCTTTTTTTAAACATAACTTACTCTTCTAAACATTTATATTATTAAAAACTACTCTTTACGATTATAATATTATATAATGTCTTTATTATCTACTACTATGTTTATTTCTAATTCCTCTTTAGCTACAAACTTATTTAGTAATAACACTATTACTAATAGACCTTTACTAAATACTGTTAGCTAAAGAAATTAATGTTTCTAGTAGACTAAAGACTAATATTACTAATTCCTTACCTAGTAGCTATAGATAGATTAGGTAGCTATAATAGTAAGTTTAAATAATGTTAACGTAATAAAATAGCTAGGTTAAGATATAACTAAAAGATTAGTATACTAGTAATAATTCTACTAGGCTACGAATTAGTATACTAGTAAACTAGTAGTTATATACTAGAAGTGTTTTATAATACTTACTTATCTTAATTTAAGAGTACCTACAACTAGTACTACTACTCTTATAAAATACCTAACGTCTAAATAATGTGTTAACGTATCTATAAGTTAAAGTTAAGGCTTATAAAGACAACTCTCCTTTTATAAGGCTGTTTTATTATCTATAACTATAAGTACAACTAGTTAGTATAAAGATTAGTATAAACTAACTAGTATATATAGTCTACTACTCTTATAACTAAGGCTTTTTAGGACTAGGTCCTTAAAACGATCGTTTCTTTATAACTCTCTTTCTAGGCTATAGAAAACACTAATCTCTAATAGCTATTAAAGCTATTAAATCCTTGTTTTTAATTACTATTAGTAATAACTATATAGACCTACCTAACATAGCGCGTTACTTAAGTTAAAGAGAACATACTTATAAACTTAGTACTAGGTAGTAAGGTAGCCTTATCTCTTAATTATTAGTTAAGTCTTACGCGCCTTTTGTTTATAGGCGTTATAGTATATTACATTAATAAAGACTAGGTACTTTAAGAAGAGTTAATTAGGTTTAAAAACCTACGTAATGTTTATTTAGGACAGGCCCTAGTAATAGTTATTAATAATTTACTAACAAATCTTAACCTAACTAGTTAAGTAATATTAATTATAACTAATAATACTAGTAATAACTATATAATAGTAGATAAAATTAATTTATATCTTAAAGACGTACTAAAGAACAGTCGTTTTCTTAATAAGTAAATCTAATATATTCCTTATCTATTATATGTTCTTTAGCTTACTATAAAAGTACTTTTAGACATAATTCGACTATAACTAACAAATAAAATATTTATTTAGGATTAAAGGAATAAGTAAGAGATAGACGAGCTTAAAAGGATACGACAAGTAAGTAACTAAGGCATACTATATATACTAGTAAAGGTATAGATTAGTTATAATTTTTATACTAATCTTTATACTAATTAGATATAGATTTAAAAGCTTATAGTACTAGTTAACTTAAGTAAGTAAAGATAAGAATATTTTAAATAGATTTAAAATAGGCTAGCTTATAATAATCTAACACGTCTTCTTTAATTAATTATAGACGTAGCTACTTAATAAGACTCTACTATTTTAATATTAATTTAGGTAATAAGACTTTAAAACGCTATTAACAAATTTTATAAAGATTATATAGTAGTATACTTGTTTTAGATCTTAAGCATTAAGTAAGATTAAATTAGATATTTAATTAATCTTTTTTACTTATTTAATTTTTTTACGACTACTATTAGTAAGATAAAGAGCATTACCTTACTATATACTCTATAGATCTATAACAAGTTGTTTAAACGCCTAACTAAATCTTACTATTAACTAAAGGCAAAAGTTAATTAAAAACTATAGGTTTGTATTCTTATCTAAGGTATTAACGCTACTAAGGCTAAACTTAACTAATACTATAATAAGATATATATAGATCTTAGTAGTATTTATATAATAAGTATAATCTTAAACCTAAGGTTAAAATTAAAGACTTTTAATCCTAACTATTATTAGCTTAATTTTAAAGTAAAGGATTAGTAATTAGAGTTTAAAGAGTAGTTTTATAAACTATACTAAAAGAACTATTATAATTATATAAGAAATTTTAATTGTCTTTAAATACTCTAAGAAGTAAACATAAATACTATAGTATTAGTATT